GTAAAATCATAATATTGTGTATACCTACATCATTGCCGCTTTAGGTATATACGAGCTCGAATTTCTGATAATAATATATTTTCTTTCGGAATGTGTTCATTAAACTCTGATAGGCTGATTGGATTTTTATTTAAATTAAAATCGTTTCAATAGTATCATAAAATATAGATATATATTATAATGTATAGCCGTATAGGTTATCGGTTGCATTTTGAACTCCGCCCGCACAGCAGTTTAATGAAACGATATCATTTCGTAATAATAAATTATTAGAGTAAAGCATTATAAGCATTATTTAGTTTACATTTTAATATATATGCATACTCTATGTTTGTATTTAATCGTATTGTAAAGTAAGTTATCATATTAGTGTTGTACTGATGTCCATTTTAATAAGCAATTGTCTTTGGGCCACCCAATATAAAATACAAATAGTAAAAATAATAAATAATATTATCAAAGTTCATTTTTTACAAGTGTTGTGCGTAATATATCGTGACRAGGTGTCAKMTGACACCTCGATGGTTTTCCAAATAAACTTAATTTTTCTAATATTATATATTGTGTATATATAGCTTCGAGGTATYATGAAACACTATTCTGTGAAYTATATGATTGTATGAATGTTATTATTGTATTTTCGTGTAATGAGAGTGATACGTACTATTGTGTATAGTGATACGTCCGTTCAATTTTTTAAATACAATAKGTGTGTGTATGTGTTTATACTTTACATTAATAATATAAGCATGCTATTATAATAATATCTACATTCAAGTGAAGTTGTTTTCTCATCTTATTTTTCATCATTAATTTATAAAAAAAAAAATACAAATGTATTCCTCAAAGCTCAAACATATACATAGACAAATACAGTAACAAATTAATTATATTATTATAATTTCGATACATTCAAAAATAAACTTTGAAACAGTTTAAATTCTTTAATTATGTAATACCCATCGACCTAATTTCTACTATGTATTGCTATATCTTTAGATGTTCATTTTTATTAGGCCCCCATAAGATGTGAGATATCGTCTGATATCGGATACACTCGTTTAAACAATAATTGAGTTTGTTTTTATTCTCGTGCATACTATAATACCATTTTAGATTAAAATCAGTTAAAATCAGAATATTACATTAACTGCATCGATGTTTTACCGATTATGAATATAATACTAGGTATTACCTAACGCCACTCTACTGTGATGAAGGTCACTGTKGCACGAGGGTGCGTTCTCGGCCAAAGCTTACGAAATTGCAATAGTTAATATACTTAATAAATCAGTTATTCTATGTAATAATGTTATAATGGTAAATACTCGTTTYACATCATTCGCTATATTATATTTTATCATATATTTTATTACGTTATATTATTATAATAGATATATAGGTTTCGTTGTAAATATACTCATGCAAATTTACAGTTTGTATAAAGTTATATACTTGTATAGTCGACTATTTTTTTTATTGATCTTAAGCACCAACAAACATTGGCCATTATTAGTATTTTGTAGAGGCTTACGATCTGTTTAACGCGAGRATTCGTCACTAAAAACTACCCTGGTGGTTACCCATCCAGGCACCGGCAACGCCGGCCAATGCTTGACCTCAGCACACATTAGCGACTGATGCCAACCATCAAGCCATGCCAGGTCTCAGTATTATATTATAAATTAGATCCTATGRCTTATCATGGATTTCTTCAGTGCATATTATAGTGATTATGGCAATTTGCGAATAGATTATTATTATTTATCATCATCGTAACCGTATGGAACGTTTAAAATTTAAACGTAAACATCGGAATTAATTATAACATTAAATCTATTTTATATATTATTATACAGTAATTATAGTTGTACAATGTACACATTACATTACATAATACAATAATTGATATGAGTGTAGACTATTGGAGAAATTCCAACAAAATAAACATCAGGMTTGAAGCTTTAATTTTTCTCTCGTTTCTTCGTTATCGTGCCATAAAAATATAGAAATAAAATCAACTATTTAAAGCTATTGTCAATTGTCATCAGTTGCATATTTCTTCCGCTACCTCTTTTATTTTTACAGTTTTTCCAATCGACGGAACTCTGTCATGATATAATAATATAATACATTATTAATGTTATGTGGATAAATTAGTTTGCTTTATTTAGATCAGAATGATCAGATGATAGATCATGAGATGTATGCAACGGTATTAGAGATATATAGTGCAAAAGGGTGGTTCCAGCTATACGAAAACGAATCAAAAAATCGTTCGCTCTCTACTCACACAGACTTATCTCTATGCAATAACCAGAATTTTTTATYTGGTAAAGTTTCAACATTTTTTTTTTATACTCAATCTGCACACCATCACCAGAGCGATTCTAGCATGACACACATGGTAAGTCAACGGTGTGATAAAAATTAGAGGGAGGAAATACATAAAAAAAATAGCTCTTGTTTTTACCTTTGGATCGAAGACGAGAACCGTAGGTATTGTTATTGACGTTGAAATTTGCTGTAAAGTATCTGTAAAGTGTACGGAGTGCCGATCGACATACAGTAAACGACTGATAAGTGAGGACTGTGYCACTATGRCGAGTGGACTGAGTGGAGACTATTTTTGTAGACGCTTAGAAGGTCATCGCTTTCAACAAACACACTTACGGGAATATGTGCGCGCGCATGCACAAGTTGTTTACAAAGATTATTAAGTAGAATTTATTATTATTATTATTATTATTAATGTTATTATTATTATTATGCATATTATGAATTAAACAATTATACAAGCGTGTTCGTATGTAAACCGAAAACGGGTAATTATCGAACGTCTGCGATATTGATAGTCAATAGTCAATAATGACATAAAAGTYTAGTATGTATCATAAAAATATACAATAAACAGCAAATGTGACATATATCGCCATATTTGAGTCTAAAGTGGTGAAAAATTCCAGGGAAAACTACCATATAGTTTTAAAAGCGTTCTATATATATTATCATTTTATGTATAATATCTAATTTATAAATTATAATCAGTAATCGTGTAAGCATATAACCATCCCACTTGTAACCCAGAGAGTAGAATAAAAAGGGGGGGGTTCAAAAACCTGAATCTTCTGAGCTCCTTCCTGAGTTAGATGAGCCATCGTCCCTTGACACATCACAGCCCAGTATAACGTACGTGCGTGATGTATATTTACCCCCGTCCACCACTATTCCTACTAATAACCCTGCCAATATCCRCCGATCTGCATCGTGCAGAATATCATAATTTTTTTTTGCGCCCGTGCTTGAGAAAAACTTGTGCACGCACTCGAATGCGATAACTAATATTTCATTAGCGCACAAGGTACAATAGCCACAGCTTGCATAATCTGTATATTATGCTGTGTATATGCACGCATGCGCAATAGTGTATTACCACCATATTATTGTGCATGCCTCGTCGTAATAGCTGCTGGATACATGTAATATAATATGTATGTATTACGATCGTTGACTACACTAGGCATCATGTATTGATTTATGATATACATTTAACAATAATATGCCTTTAAGTGTACAATAAACAACAGACAGGCAAACCGATTTTCCTCGGGAGCAACTGGTTTTGGTCGGAGGACGGTCGTGTTATCTCATTAAAATCAGTATAACTCTTTTATTGTTGAGTTTGTTATTACCAAGAGAAGTTAATTATGAAAAAAAAAACCAAGAAAGTTGTGCGGAAAATTAGTACATTTAAGAAAACTTAACGACCATATTAACTTTTCTGATATGACCTTAACGTTTTTGACAATATAATATACTAAAAGTCATCCATTATTATTAATAACATATTTTTTTAAATTTTTAGTTTAATTTTAATTTTTTTAAATTCCAGCAGTGTTGGACTAAATGGACGTACAAAGTTAAGTCACGTAATTCCTAAAACTTAAAAGTCAAAAATATACAAGTGTAAAAGAACGAACAACKTAATTGCGGAATAAAGTTGAACGGAATCGATCGATGAAATCAAAACCAACAACAGAAAATAGTATGTTGAATTTAACCCCTATAATTGAAATGCATTTAATTCTACCGTGGAAATCGATTACAGTAAAATTTAATGGGARTCGTTGCTTTTGGACAAACAAACTTCGTGTGTCAATATTGGAAGACGTTTAAGTTTAAAAATGAAACCTCGGATAGTCAAAATTTAAAATTCCCAGGAGTTATCAAAAAAGCCAGAAAAATTAAAAAATTATGGAAAAACGTGATCTTTTACGAAAATATTGGTGATATTGGTGTAACTCTAAGGCAAATTACCGTAGATAATTAAAATATTCACTGAATGTTTATATTGGCATTTTCTATATTTGGCAAAACATTTCAAACATTTTAAAGTTACTTATAGACATTTAAGATTTTCCATTTTTTTCCTATCAAACAAAATTGTATTCTTTTGGTAAAAAAGTTTGAAAATTAAATGCGAGGCTCCTAATTTATTGTAACAATGGTAGTTAGAAAATATTAAAAATACATACCTAGACCCGACTTTTTTATAAGCACTTAATATTCAAGTTTTAAAAATATGTAAAATTAATCATTGCAAATTATTTTGAATTAAAAATTCATCCTAACAATCATAATTATGTAAAATTACTTCCAAAAAATAATAAATAATAAGATATCTTAATATCAATGCAATCGTAACAATGTACTGGTAACTAATGGTGTACAAACCTTAAAGCCAATAGATAAATGCTACATTTACGTTTGCTACGTGATGCGTTATAAATAAATCAGTAAAACTTTTTTAAATTTATTATTATAGTTAGACTACTTTTTAAAACAGTTTTTTAAGTAAATACCTATTTTAGTAAGCTTGCAGTTGAATATAAATATTTAATATTGTTCTATTACAATAAATGATAACATAATATGGATATATATATAAAATATATGCCTTAACTTAATATAATKTTCACATGATAAGTAAAAGACTTAAATAGWTTTGAATATATAATTCATATAATTTATTAATATTAAGTTACAGTAATTATTTGGCATTTTATAAGACTACAAGGAACAGGTAAAATAAATACATAGGTCTGGTGTAAATATAAAACTCAATTTGAGGGTGGACATAGGCCACATAAAGTACACATTATTGAGATTAGAAGCACCCACCTTTTTATTAATTTGCTTTGGCCTTTTAAGTATAGTTTTATTAACACGAAATASGAGTTACTACTATTGAGAGCTTTCCATTAACAATTTTATACAATTATTTACGATTTTCATTAAACATTTTATAAACTCGACCACTCGACAATTTGACATAAATGTAGGTATAATATAAAATTATAAGTCAATAATATTCATAAATATAACTGATCTATAAATTGTGAAATTGGATTGAACAATTCACTTTTATAAAACCATTTACTTGCAAACTATATCCATTTGCTTAATATTATTATTACTTGTTCTTTTTGATAATACATCATAGTTTTATCTATCACAAATKAACTGTAGAAGAATTCTTTTTATATGTAGGTCTTCTATCTCTCGTCTGAATAGTCACTGGATAACCATTAGCACTTCTCATCAATAAATCTAATTTTAATTTAATATCACTTAATTTTACGTCTGTGTGTACGCTGTAGTTTCTCAAAAACGTAGATACGAGAACTTTCATTGACAACATGGCGTATTTTGATCCTATAATTTWAAAAAATTAAATACAGGTATATTAAATATTGGAGTAATATATCGGGTGATCCATTTAACGAGTAGTACTCATTATTTCAAAACCTATTAACGACTTAGAAAATATYTTTTTATATAATAAAGTCGTTAATAAACATACTTTTATAAAATGTTTTTAATTGTTTTACTCTTTTTAATGACAACGTACATTTCTAAATTCTTAAACCAAAGTGGAATATTTTTTTGGTTTTCTTCGATGGATAAATATCAAATATGGAAGTGTATTAGTTTAGAGTTCTGAAATAATGAGTTTCTAACGTTTAATAAATCACCCCGCGATATGTTTTATCTTTATAATATTAWCTTATACAGTTATAACTTACCTAGGCAACCCCTTGGGCCACCACTAAAAGCTATGAAACTAAATTTATGACGTTTAGAAACATTTTCAGCGTCGAAGTTATCCGGGTTGAAGGACCATGGATTCGGATACAGATCAGGAATATGATGCGTACATATCGGGGATATAATACATGTTGTTCCTTTTGGCAGTGTGTGATCACCGGAAACTAAATTTTAAATGATTGCAAAATATAATTTATTGAGATACAGCTGATTTTATGTTTACTTACAAATTTTGACATCGTCTTGKAGTTGTCTAAGTAACAACGGTCCTATAGGATATAATCGAAGAGTTTCCCGTAAACATTGTTCGAGGTAAACAAGTTTAGTAGTGTCTTCAATAGTAATTGTTTGGTCACCGTCGCCTAACACATCATATATCTCATCGTAAACCTTGTCCTGAAATTTCAAAGAAAAAAATGGGTACAGCGTAGTGTATTTTTTAATCTATCTCGTACAGCCATACACAAATTTGCATGACCTTTGTGCACGTTATCAAAAATTTACCTAAAAATTGTAGACACGTTTATGCGAATTTATTTAAAAGTAAATAGCATTGAAAGAAAAATAATGAATAAATTAAGAACATTTATCTGATGAAGAAAACTTCAATTTATTTAAAATGTTGGGAAAATTATCAAATTACAAAAACACAAMAAAAAAATATAAATTATATAATAAAATGCATGGAAAAAAATTCAATCTAATATCATCTATAATCCAAACATTCCATACTCACAAGTATAATTAATAGTTAGCTAGATAGGTAATATACTAAAAAGTATACTAATTAAAGCGTAAATATATGTTTTTGTAATACTATTAGAGCAAACTCGTTGTGTATTTTGAATAATAGTAATAGGTTCAGAATTAAATTATGGTTCCAAACATGCACTAAAATGGAGAGAAATATTACGCTGAAATTTTGAATTRATTTAGGTACGCCTTAAATGTGTATGTATTAAGAAAATGCATACAAATGGTATTCCTTCCACTGCGCGAATCAAACATATTCCATTTCTTTTCAAGGATTTAATTCCTGATACAATAAATTATACGTAATTATGTTAATATTTCTTGATTACCCAACCAGATACTATTATATTATCAATCAACACTGTTCAACGGAATCTCTAATCTCTAATAAATCACGATGTATCAATATTTWWAAAAAATATTACTGGCAGGCACTTACTTGAATTTCCGGATGGATAGCCAGTAGTAATAGGCAGAAGCAAAGTGTGACAGCACTAGTTTCACTACCCTGTAATTAATTTTTTTAAGTTACTTAAAAATTATTGGCAATCTTAACTTTTTTTATTGTACTTACACCAATCATCATTGTCACGACTTCGTCTCTAAGTTCTTCATCGGAAAAGTTTGCACCAGCTTCATTCAGTTCCAATAACGTGTCCAAAAATACTTTTAAACGGTTTTCTGAAATATAATAAAAATAAACGATAAAACTGCACATAATATTTCAATATTAAATCAAATAATATATAATTAATAAATTATAACAAATAATATTTTATCGTTGTATCGAATTACTCACTTTTGTCAACGTTGACATCTATGGCATTATTTTGACTTTCAATTTTCTTCTGTGCATATTTTTCTTTCATTTCCTTAATCACCTAAAATCGTAAAAATAAAATTACCAAAAGCTAACTCTCCCTTTGGTTAACTATGCCGTGTTTAATCCAGCATTACCAGAAAGGTACATTTGAACTCTCCTAAGTCTATAATAAACTAATAAGTAATAAYTCATAACTTTGTTTGTACATAATAATTATATTATTTTAATTTAATGTTTATAATGATAWGAACATGCAGAATTTTGAAATGTGACCTTCATCTGAATTCCATTTAAAAAGTAAATTATCTAAACTATTTAAATAATAAAATTGATAATAATTTCAACCTTTTGATTTAATTTATATGAACATACAACAGATTAAAAAAATCTAAAGGTGTCTATTTTTAACCAGTATTTATATTCTATAATTGTTGCGACATAATTTTAAAATAACTTGGGAGAGCTTACATATTGCTTTCAGTTAAACAATATTTTAATGTTAGCCCGGAAGAGTTTAACACTTCCCCTAAGCATAACGTTTATTTAATTATTAACATTAAATTACCTGATTTGGAAGTTTGTGCAGCGTTTTGTAGACGTTGTGCAGTCCCGTAAGTTTTCCGTAAATTGAAAATATTATATCAGGGTGCAACCAGGGTTTGTAAATTCTCATAGAATCTAATTCCGATGCTCTAAAAATAAAAACTTTATCTTACAAATAAATTCTTTATGTTTTATGCATGTAATTTCGTTACTTTGTTAACGCTTCAGCAAATTCAGACTCGTTATTTAATTGAGTGTCAAGATTGTAACCCATTGCAGTTTCTATAAGTAACGTAATATTAGGTATAAGCAAAATAAATATACCAAATATTATGTAAATACCTATGTACATGACATAGTATTTTAAACATTGAAATACTTACGACAAATTATATCAAGAGTGGTATTTGATATATAGTCCCAAAGATCAAATGGTTGTGTTTTACCTACTTCATTTTTTAGATTTCTTGTGAGAATTCGATTTTTCTCATTAAAGACAGGAAAAAACTGATCAAGAAGATTGGCGTTAAACACTGGAGTAATGAGWCGACGATGTCTTCGCCATTTATGAACTAAAATATTTTTAATATTGTTATTGAATAATATGTATATGTTTATACAAATTTACATTTTAATAATCAGTAACTATATTAGAATATATTTATTTATTTATTTTTTTATTATTATTACAATTAAACCTGCAGTGACTATTGCCATTAGACTAACATTATTGAACTATATTTTATATTATACATTATTATAATAGTTAGTAGGTATAATTAGATTTTGCCGAATATTGGTGAATATTTTATCAAACTAATAATTAGGTTTTAATCGAAAGTATGATAATTCATTTTTAATTTTCTTCTTGAGGTCTGGCCTTTTCAAGTACCTATAGATGTTATCTTGTATTAAATTATAATACTCTTCAAGCAATTATGAAATAAATTAATGAACAATTATTATAATTTTTAAGTAGAATATTGGCTTTCAATCGAATTAACTAATTTTTATTGATCTAATATTGACAAAGAAACACAAAAATGTTCATCTAATTGAGTAATTTACATTTATTTTACATATATGCTATATATGTATATTAACTTAATAACAAAATAATTAAATCATTAAATTAAAGTTAACATAAATAAACTAATAAATTAATGTTCAGAACTCATTAACAATTTCTAATAATTARAACTGGACAATTAAACGATTTATGAATTTATAAATAAATYATAAATACATTCGAAYAWTCAATAAAGATTAATAACGTTAAAATACAAAAATCTATAGCGCTACATTATTGAATTAGAAAATATATGCACTACGTTTACTCGTAGACCATGGTCGTATGTTCACTGTTGTATAGGTCAATGGCCAGACAATATGAAATTGGTTATATTTTACTATRTATAARGACCCATTTCCCTATAAATACYACTTTTACATAATAATAATCKTTATTTGTTTAATATACTATAATTAATGATAATGTATGCATACCTACTTGTATAATAATTATTAACTGCATTTTTATTGATGTTATAATAATTGTAATTTCACACTCAGTTAAAATATGCAAGAGCAAGTTTATTTGTTTACGATTTCTTTTTCAATATTAATTTATCAATAAAATATCAATTATGAAAAACATAAACAAAATCGACGTGCAAATTATCAAGGATTAAATTTTTTCATACTGACCTGGAGCTGAAAACAAGCCTTCACCTACAGTATTCTTGAAAAATTTATAGAACTGGTCTTTCTCCAGGGCCTTGGAACTATTTAATACTATCTGAAACAAATCAGGTTTTAAATAACATAGCTGTTAACTGTTTAGTTTCCGTCAAGTTTTATGACATGTATGTGGAAATTGTTTATCCAGACATCATAATAGGATAATACATCACGCCATAACACATACGTTTTTTATTTCCTGACACCCGCACCCACGACTAATTTTAATTTTAATTAAACCAGTTTGTCTTTCTAATCTATAACAATAAAACATTAGTAATAGCTGATTTTATACTCTTAAAATAATTACTTGTACGTCTTCTGGTTTGCTTATGGTGACGCCCAAAGATGTACCCATCCATACTTTAAACGGTTCAGAACCATATATGTCGAACAATTTAATTATTCTCTCTATGACCTCTAAAAAAAAAGCCAAAATGAATCATTTTTCGTTCAGCGTTGTTTTGTAATCGTCATGGTTCGACTTACGTTGGGGTGTACCAACAAACTCAAGCCCTGCTCCAATAATCGGGTATGCCGGCGGTCCTGTCATTCTGGATGCCAATTTTTCGAAGTGTCTGCGATTCCATTTAAAGTGACACCATAGCACCACAATAAAAGAAATTACTGCATAAGCAGTCAACTCAGTACTTGTCATTCGGAGCCCACTTACTGAATATTTAGAAGCCAAGGGAAAATCTTGAGAAACCTCCATTCTATAAAAACGATGTAAAAAAATTCATAAATCCATTTTTTTTAACTACCTATACTATTAACTAACAATAATTTTTAAGGAGACCAATATTTATTTCACGTGAGAATATTTCATTCAAATTTTAAATTCAAATGCTCACATGCATAACAAATAAACGCGTGGCATTACAACAAAATTTAATTTTAAATTCTAACAAGAACAACTTAGGAGAATCTTCGTGTTAATTTGCTCTCTGACCTAGCAAAAAAAAATTGTACAATATCAAATGCCTAAAAATAGCTCAAAATGAATCAATATATTTTAAAAATATACCATATACCAATGTCTGAAAAATGCAAATACAAAATAATGTGTTTGGTGAAAATTTAAATTATCATAGGTGATTCGATTTTTAGTTATAAAAAGTCGGTTTTGTTAAAAATTTCTATTGTGGAAATGTTCTCTCACACGCTAATTTTCATTAATTTTCACTTTTTCTTGATTATGAGAAGAAGTAAGTATTGAGGAGTTTTACTGAATTGAGTACTTAGCAGATCCAATTTGATTCCAGAAAAAATGTTCAAAGTTAAAGATTGTAATGTTAATATTACAATAAAAGAAAAAAAGTGTAAAAATATATAACAAACATCATCGTTAAACAAATTTACATTCATCGCTCGTACTGTTGTCTACTTTTTCTCTCCACTGTCCCTCAATATTTTCTGGTTTTTATTTATTAAGTAGCTACATTTATTTAGTATTATAACTAATATTGTTCAGAGATTAATAATAATTWCGTGTAAATTTATTGTTTACTAATTTTTATTTCACAATTCATTTAGGATCATCTTAGATTATTTTATCTTAGATAAATTAATTATCTTAGATTTTTACTAGAGTTCAGGACCTCTTGCATTTGCAAAGTTTTTTGTAGTGGTCGTAGATTATTCTAGGTGAGCTATAAATTTGTCTTATGATATGCCAAAATTAAATACTAAGTTTGAATTTAAATATTTTTCATATTTCGTCATATTTGAAGAAAAGTACATATTTGAGCAATTTATAGCATATTTAGGATATTTCGAATTTTTATATTTTTATAAACGTAAAATCATAATTGGACGGTCGTAGTCTGTCGTCTCTAACACACGTTTGTTTATTTACGATATTATTTTTATCGCTTAATAATCAACCCTTTTATCGACAATATTGACAATTGTATAGTTGTGGTAAAAACCTAACATCCTACAGACACTTATCATTTTTATTATATTATGTACTTACCTACATTTTAGATTTTTATTTTTATAATTATAATTTACTTGATACGTTTTTCAAAAACAAAATAAAAAATTGGTTGAATATTTTGACAATTTTGAATTAATATTTCGATAATTTTAAGTGCAACAGGTAAGATCTTGAACCCTTGTTATCACCAATTCACCGAAATTTTTTTTTAAATTATAACATAATAGTATTTTTTTTAAATTTTTATCTAAATTTCACTTGTACCACCTGTAAGTTTAAATTATCACACCCAGTTGAACTTAGTGTTATTAAAAAGTATATAAAACTAACAGAGTGATTAAATAATTACTATCAATATTTAATTTTAAATTATTTAAATGCATAT